AAGAACCAAATTAACAAAATTAGAAATGAAAATGGAGAGATCACAACAGACAACACTGAAATACAAAGGATCATAAGAGACTACTACCAGCAGCTCTATGCCAATAAAATGGACAACTTGGAAGAAATGGACAAGTTCTTAGAGAAGTATAACTTTCCAAAACTGAACCAGGAAGAAATAGAAGGTCTTAACAAACCCATCACAAGCAAGGAAATCGAAACTAATCAGAAACCTTCCAGCAAACAAAAGCCCAGGACCAGATGGCTTCACAGCTGAATTCTACCAAAAATTTAGAGAAGAGCTAACACCTATCTTACTCAAACTCTTCCAGAAAATTGCAGAAGAAGGTAAACTTCCAAACTCATTCTATGAGGCCACCATCACCCTAATTCCAAAACCAGACAAAGATGCCACAAAAAAAGAAAACTACAAGCCAATATCACTGATGAACACAGATGCAAAAATCGTTAACAAAATTCTAGCAAACAGAATCCAACAACATATTAAAAAAATCATACACCATGACCAAGTGGGCTTTATCCCAGGAATGCAAGGATTCTTTAATATCTGCAAATCAATCAATGTAATACACCACATTAACAAATTGAAAGATAAAAACCATATGATTATCTCAATAGATGCATAAAAAGCCTTTGACAAAATTCAACATCCATTTATGATTAAAACTCTCCAGAAAGCAGGAATAGAAGGAACATACCTTAACATAATAAAAGCTATATACAACAAACCCACAGCAAGCATCACCCTCAATGGTGAAAAATTGAAAGCATTTCCCCTGAAATCAGGAACAAGACAAGGGTGCCCACTCTCACCACTACTATTCAACATAGTTTTGGAAGTGTTGGCCACAGCAATCAGGGCAGAAAAAGAAGTAAAAGGAATCCAGATAGGAAAAGAAGAAGTGAAACTCTCTCTGTTTGCAGATGACATGATCCTCTACAGAGAAAACCCTAAAGACTCTACCAGAAAATTACTAGAGCTAATCAACGAATACAGTAAAGTTGCAGGATATAAAATTAACACACAGAAATCTCTTGCATTCCTATACACTAACAATGAGAAAACAGAAAGAGAAATTAAGGAAACAATACCATTCACCATTGCAACAAAAAGAATAAAATACTTAGGAGTATATCTACCTAAAGAAACAAAAGACTTATACATAGAAAACTATAAAACACTGATGAAAGAAATCAAAGAGGACACAAACAGATGGAGAAATATACCGTGTTCGTGGATTGGAAGAATCAATATTGTCAAAATGGCTATACTACCCAAAGCAATCTATAGATTCAATGCAATCCCTATCAAACTACCAACAGTATTTTTCACAGAACTAGAACAAATAATTTCACAATTTGTATGGAAATACAAAAAACCTTGAATAGCCAAAGTAACCTTGAGAAAGAAGAATGGAACTGGAGGAATCAACCTGCCTGACTTCAGACTATACTACAAAGCCACAGTCATCAAGACAGTATGGTATGGGCACAAAGACAGAAATATAGATCAATGGAACAGAATAGAAAGCCCAGAGATAAATCCACGAACCTGTGGTCACCTTATCTTCGACAAAGGAGGCAAGGATATACAATGGAAAAAAGACAACCTCTTTAACAAGTGGTGCTGGGAAAACTGGTCAACCACCTGTAAAAGAATGAAACTAGAACACTTTCTAACACCATACACAAAAATAAACTCAAAATGGATTAAAGATCTACATGTAAGACCAGAAACTATAAAACTCCTAGAGGAGAACATAGGCAAAACACTCTCCGACATAAATCACAGCAGGATCCTCTATGACCCACATCCCAGAATTTTAGAAACAAAAGCAAAAATAAACAAATGGGACCTAATGAAACTTAAAAGCTTTTGCACAACAAAGGAAACTATAAGCAAGGTGAAAAGACAGCCCTCATAATGGGAGAAAATAATAGCAAACGAAGCAACAGACAAAGGATTAATCTCAAAAATATACAAGCAACTCCTCCAGCTCAACTCCAGAAAAATAAATGACCCAATCAAAAAATGGGCCAAAGAACTAAACAGACATTTCTCCAAGGAAGACATACAGATGGCTAACAAACACATGAAAAGATGCTCAACATCACTCATTATCAGAGAAATGCAAATCAAAACCACAATGAGGTACCATTACACGCCAGTCAGGATGGCTGCTATCCAAAAGTCTACAAGCAATAAATGCTGGAGAGGGTGTGGAGAAAAGGGAACCCTCTTACACTGTTGGTGGGAGTGCAAATTAGTACAGCCACTATGGAAAACAGTGTGGAGATTTCTTAAAAAGCTGGAAATAGAACTGCCATATGACCCAGCAATCCCACTTCTAGGCATACACACTGAGGAAACCAGATCTGAAAGAGACACATGCACCCCAATGTTCATCGCAGCACTGTTTATAATAGCCAGGACATGGAAGCAACCTAGATGCCCATCAGCAGACAAATGGATGAGGAAGCTGTGGGACATATACACCATGGAATAAAAGAATTCATTTGAATCAGTTCTAATGAGATGGATGAAACTGGAGCCCATTATACAGAGCGAAGTAAGCCAGAAAGATAAAGACCATTACAGTATACTAACACATATATATGGAATTTAGAAAGATAGTAACGACAACCCTATATGCAAAACAGAAAAAGAGACTCAGATGTATGGAACAGACTTGTGGACTCTGGGAGAAGGCGAGGGTGGGATGTTTCAAGAGAACAGCATCGAAACACGTATATTATCTAGGGTGAAACAGATCACCAGCCCAGGTTGGGTGCATGAGACAAGTGCTCGGACCTGGTGCACTGGGAAGACCCAGAGGGATCAGGTGGAGAGGGATGTGGGAGGGGGGAACGGGATGGGGAATACATGTAAATCCATGGCTAATTCATTTCAATGTATGACAAAAACCACTGCAATGATGTAAAGTAATTAGCCTCCAACTAATAAAAATAAATGGAAAAAAAAAAGAAATTTTTTAAAAGTTACTACTTTAATGGCTCCTAACCTGCCCTCTTCTAAAAGATTTCCTACAAAAGAAATCTCTGATATGAGAAACACATTTCATGTTATCACTAGATATAAACTTGTTTCTTGTGCTTTCATCTGTAAAACGTGAGTTATCTGTCTCTTCTACATCAAGTCTGAGGATATGCTGCAAGAGAAAAGAAATGACAGGACACCACTTGAAAGGGAAATATTCAACCTGACATCAACATGAACATGAAAAACAGGACATTCAAACCCACAAGTTTCCTGACGAGGAAACAGTCTCAAAGCAGTGAACTGACTGGCTTCCCAGTCTCACGCTCATTTACTGGTTCTACTTTGGTTCTGAAAGGATTTGGGGTGGCCTGTGTCACAGATACAGGGGACCTCTTAGGACTCTTATGAAAGATTAGTTCCATGCAAAAGCATCTGCATTAGAAGCTTAACTCAATATATGTTAAAAAAAAAAAAAAAACCTTAGATTTTTAACTTCTACTTTATGTACAAAAAAATATTTTCTGGAACTTCTTCCTAGATGGCAGAAATAGTAGGAGCCCATTTCTCTCTGCCTGCCTTGTCCTAGGAAGGAAATATCCAGGTATAGTTAATGTAGAGGACATGCCCATTTCAAGAGTGAAGGGAAATACCCAAAGTTCTTAGCTGATTCAATTTTACTTTAAGGACGACTATGTAGGAAATCATATTCCAAATCTGTTGGAACTACAGGGTGAAGAAAGGGTGACTAACTTTATTTCTCTGAAAACCACAGATCACACTATCTATAGAGTCTACAGGTTCAGAAAAGAGATGCCTCCTTTGCTGAGTCAATTTCTCCAACCTTTGTTCCCTGTGTTCCTTTAACCTTTACCTGATTTTCTCTCTTTCCCCTTATCATAAGCATGTTAAGTGTCTCTCTTACACAAAATACCCAGGACTACCAAAAACCTGCCCATGATGTCATAGTCCCCACCTGCAGTCTTGAATCTTTTCCACTTTGCAGCAAGCCTAGTAGTCTCTATTCTACTCTACTTCATCATCTCCTATTCACTTTCACTCTGCCAAGCATGTTAAGAATAAATAATACATGTACAGAAAATGTACTTGTCACTTTCATGTTACCAAATCCAATGTACAACTGAGTAGCTGAGCTTGTCTTACTTTTGACCTGCTTACTTCAATTATACTCTTGTACTGGCAGGACTACTCCACTTTTAGATAATTCTTCCTTATTCTCTACAATTTTCAATGAATAAGTTCCTGAGTTATTTTCTTCGTATACTCTTTGAGAATTGGGCTATTTTGAGGCATTTTAAAGAGAAGTCTAAGGTGGGAAAGTGTAGGCAGAAGGAATTTGTATTGGAACCCAAGCAGCCACAAGAGACTAATCTAATCTGCATTTGTCAACCAGGGTCCTGGGCTAGATGATCTCCAGGGATCTTTCACACTCAGAGGATACCATTTCTTTTCTGCCTTTCCATCTGTACACTCATTGTCACAGTTAGCAAAGAAGTGGTCTTTTATTCACAATATTTTTCCAGAGTCCAAAATGTAATAAAAATGTATGTGATGTCCTAGATTAGTCACCATAACAAAATTAACTGGGTCTGTTCTTATGGAGACATGGAAGCAATCTAGCTTTATGAAACTACTCTCTTGATAAATTTCATGATAATGTGATTTAACCTATGATTTAAAGAAACTTCTCCACACGTAACTGGAAAGTTTTGTATTTAAAGGGTATTTATAAATCCAGTTTCCAAATTACCTAAGACTGCCTCCTAGCAGGTGTTCAAGTTTCTTGTTTACAAACAGAAACTGATCCAATAAAATGAAATATTTTGACTTCACAGGCTAGAGAATTCATGGGAAAGAACTTCTCAAAATGTAGGAAGAATCTGTTCTTCTCAAATTACTTGCAGTCTCATAACTTACTGAAAGGTAAAGTTATATTTCAAATAGTAAAATTATATACTTACCAGAATCTTATGTCTTTTAATGTTTTTTTGGCTAATTTCAGCTGCCATCAAAGCTTCCTGTGTTTACAAAAACATGACAAAGGAGAAGGGGGAAAAAGGGAGCGGGTAGGAGAGAAAGATATTGAGGTTATAAACACTGTATTTATTACGTTTTAAAGTTATGGGCTACATAAATAAGCCCCGCTTTCCCATGGCTTTTGCTTCAAGCACAGGAATTTTTAATGTTACGGTTGAGTGAACCTCACTGAATTCTAACTGAAACAAAAGCAGTCAACCAAAATGAAGACTTCTCTTATTTCCATGTGAATTCATTTCCACATTAGGATACTGGAATCACATTTCAGACACAAATTAAAATACAAAAAAATCTCCTAGGTTCAAAGAACAACAAAAAAAATCCATCTGTCATTCTAAATCTGTTCGACATGTATTAACCAAGGGGCACTTTTCCTTTATGAAACATAAAAAGTAACCTATATACATACACGTAGGTATAACTACAATAAGATTTTGAAAATCTCTGATTCTATTTTTATTTTATTAAGTTTATAATGATTACTTTACCACAACTGTTTGAAACCCTAATTTATTTCTTTAAGAAGCTACTGGATTCAAAGCTATCAAGGTAATAAAGGTTGATATTTAAACCTTTAAATATCAATAACAATAAAGTATCAATACTTGGACTCCAATATTTGGAGTATCAATACTTGGACTCAAAAGAGTTTATATATTATCAACTGGTATCAATACTTGGTATCAATGCCTGGATTCCAAAAAGTTTATATAGTATTCAATAAAAACATTTCTTTTCAAATCGTGTCAGGTGGTTACAAACTTAAAGCACCAAATAAATGGACTATTTTTTGTTTTTTAGCTAACTAGCAGATAAGCCTCTCCAGAGAGCTTCCCTAACTAAACCACCACAACAATGCTTTTGCAGCTATTAAAATGTTTTCCTTTTTTTAAAAAAAAGTCATGAGGGGATATTATCTACTCAAACTAGTCAGACCCAATACTCAATGAAGTGGACAACATCATTCTATCTAAAAAGGCAGTTCAAACCATCCTAAATGAGTATAATTTGATAGCTTTACTTTTACATATGAATTAAGCACAATATAAATGAACTAAGCACAAGATAAATGGTTTCACTAAAATAAATAGTTGATCCTGAAATACTACCTCAGTTAAAAACCACCAAATAAACACATCAGTAAGCTGGATTTAACCTACCCCCTCCCTCCATTGCCAATTCTTCCTCCATTGAACAACAAAGCCAGTCAACCTCCCTGCCATCTTTATTCCCTCTAATTTCTGGAAACCACAGTGGAAAGTTGTTAGCCTCCCACATATTGTTAGCTTAGAGCATTCTAGTTGACCAACATGAAAGATTTACTACAAAAAAAGCTCTTATCCTCTTTATGTTACTGATCTGTCAATACTTTGAAAAAAGTAAAAGCAAAACTACTTCATATTTCTTCTTTTCAAGAAGCCAGTCGATGTGGTCATCTTGGTCTCGTTCCTTCGCTACAACAACATCCCTTGGACTCACGATGTAAAAGAGTGACTCCCCTTCTGAGTACTCTAGAGATAAGAGAAGAGAGGAACAAGTTGGGTGACTCAATAGGAGAAACCTTGGCAGTGGTTTGGGAGGACTTCGTTAGACTACCCAGCTTTAAGAGTGAGTAGAAAACTCTCCTACCTTTGAAATAAATGTATTTGCCTGTGTTTGAAGAGGGTGGGAGATTAGAGGTGAGAACGTCAGAATCTATTCCAGTGCTTTAAAATATATTTACATGGAAAAAAATTTGAAAGAAAAAAGAAGAAAGAGAAGGAAGAAGGAAAGAAGAGAAGGAAGGAAGGAAGGTGGGAGGAAATACCAAAAAATCTTTAAAAAAAAATGAGGGCTTAAAAATTATGTTTCGTAATTAACATTCTGACCTCAGTTGAAAGTGTTGAAAATTCTTGGTGTCTATCATATATAATTTATCTACCGTATATAAACTTTACTGATGGGCATTTACGGTACTGTTCTATTTTTACAGAACAATTACACCCTACAGTTGGCGATAAATGTTTCCTCCTCATCAAGGTCAAGGCCATCTAAAGCATAAATGACAGATGCCCCAAGGCCTGGGGACATCATCTATCACTGAAGCATGTTGTGCACAATGCCGATGGTTAGGGTTTCCTGCAGAATTCAATTATAAAATCTGTTCAGAAGGGTTTCTAAGTGTGCAGCCAAGTTTGCTTTAAGGAAAAATACCTCAACTGGATGCATTCTCTTGTGAATCACATTTGCTTTTTTCTAAGTCCAAAACAGACACTCCCATTTCCCAGTTGATCATGGGCTTCATATAAGAAAACTCAGATATAGGGTATTTCTTCATTTCTCTTGACCAAAATAACTGACAATACTCTCAAAATATGTTAATTGTTTTTAAAGAAGGAAAGATTGTCTCAACAGCCAAAGCTGTTCTATTTTTTCATCAATGTATTTTTCAAGAATAGAGTGACACCAAAAGACCCTGTTGCTGGGAAAGATTGAAGACAGAGGATGAGATGGTTGGAAAGAAAGTGAAAGTGAAGTCGCTCAATCGTGTCTGACTCTTTGCGACTCCATGGACTGTAACCTACCATGCTCCTCCATCCATGGGATTTCCTAGGCAAGAATACTGGAGTGGGTTGCCATTTCCTTCTCCAGGAGATCTTCTCAACCCAGGGATTGAACCCGGGTCTCCCACATTGTAGGCAGATGCTTTACCATCTAAGCCACAAAGGAAGTCTGAGATGGTTGGATAGCATCACCAACTCAATAGACATGAGTTTGAGCAGGTTCTGGGAGTTGGTGATGGACAGGGAAGCCTGGTGTGCTGCAGTCCATGGGGTCGCAAAGAGTCGGACATTTCTGAGCGACTGAACTGAACTGAAAATAGAGATGCCCCTCATATGACTACAGAGTAATGGTTCTCCTTTTATTTCCAAGCAGTGACTAAATGGATTCATTCGTCTACTTGACAAATAATAGCGAAAATCTAGTATGCACCACATACTCTTTCAAGCTTTGAGCATTCAGCTACAGAAGGACAATTTCTCTGCCAACCCAGAGTACACCAGAGTGATATGGCAACCACAGAACCATGCTGCTTGACATCACTGTAAGTCAGGTGTCACATGAAATAGTTAGGACAGGAGACCAAATGTAAGGACAAAGACCACAGAGCTTCCTTACCTTGGTCTTGGCCCCATCTCTACCCCTCCCTTCTGCTCCGGGAACTCAAGTGAGTTCTCCAGCATCTCTGGGCCTTGGCGTCTTAACTTTCAATATGCCCAGATTAGCTCTAAGAGTCTTTCAGCACCTTAATTTAAACTTCTGGTTGTGCTACTCAGGTGGAGGGGAAAAAACAAATATAAGAAATCACATGAGTCAGATCCTTAATCTCTCTCACCTAAGTGATAATCTCGACATTCATTTTCCTGAAAGCCCCTCACGGTCAGGGCATCAGAAGAAATCTCTTCACAAGTTTCAGAAAGTGGCTGGATGATATCCAATCTGGGTCTGGCACAGTATTCTCTTTCCTGGGGGAGGAAGAAAGGCTCGTTGGAATTATATTTCTGTAAGTGATACAAATTAATTCTAGGTAGCCAGAATTAAATGCCTTGCTTTGATAAAATTGGCAGATATAGGCCCTTCCTACCACCAGCTGTGGATAGCTTCAGCAGTGGTTTATTTTGACCTTTTGTATGTATTGTATCTATGTACTGTATTGTAATGAGATATACAGAACAGATGGCACTGGACCATGTCGGCAGTCACGGCTGGCTGCTGAACACCTGAGGTGACGGCTATGACTGAGAAGCAGAGCTTTGAATTTTATTTAATTTTCATTAATTTCAATTTAGATAACCCCATGAGGTTAGTGACTACAATTCTGGTCACTGCAGTTCTAGACCAAGACAGAAGGGGAAAATACGCTTTAGTGAGGGCCTATGACAATTCCACTAGCTTAGTAGGTGACTATCTACAGATTACTCTCCCGAGTCCTTAAATCACCCTCAGGAAGTATTGTTGTTCCTCATTTTGCAGAGGAAGGAACTGAGGATCAAAAAACTTACTGAGGTTAAAGTTATGTAAGTAAATGGTAGGACTTGGATTTGTGGAAAAAACTAGGACTATATTTGAAATCAAGTTTGTTTTACTGTAAAGCTCATGCTCTCTGAGTATTCAGCACATGGGCATGAAACATATACTTGGACTACTTTCCAAAGCAACAAGAGCTAATGCAGTGTGGCACTGGTGCAGAGAATACAGATGAAAGAAACAACATGAAAGAAGTCCAGAACTACCCCTGAAGCTCCAAGGTCCCCCAATAAAACAGTAAGCCTCACAGATCCCTTTGATCAATTTTGTTAGGTTAACTGAGAAACCATTAGTTAGCACTGTGTCTCATATATTTAAAGCATTCAAAAATTAAAAAAACAACTGTAAAAGGTCAACTGGTGGAAGAAAAAACCCAGGTGAATATACAGGATAATTGATCAGATCTGTGGAGAAATGACAAATATCTTAATTTGAAAACAACAAAAAGGAAAAAAACTGAAATATTTGAATATTTCTAAAAACATTAACAGCTGTTAATAATGACAAAAAAAATATCAAAAGTAGAATCAAAAACAGGAGAAAAGATTGAACCAAACAACGTTAAAAGAAAACCACCTCGCTAGACCATATGAACAGCTCCTTCATATGTAAGAAATCCATCAGCAAAGTGATGGATGAGAAATCTATCGTCTCACTATTTTACAACTTTTGTTCACTGGTCAAACAGCCCTGCTTATGTGTGAACTTCCTAGGAGAAAGAATTTGGTCCTGTTGACTTTTTTTTTAAGTCTTTGTTGCATTTGTTACAACACTGCTTCTGCTTTGTTTTGGTTTTCTGGCTGTGGAATCTTACTCCCATTGCCAGGGATCAAACCCACACCCCAGCACTGGAAGGTGAAGTCTTAATCTTACTGGCCTGCCAGGCAAGTCCCTTGCCTTGTTGATCTTTGATACCCTGAGTGCAGCACTATTCTTAACACACATGTGCTTTATTAATGGATGGGAAAAAAAAAAAACATTAAGGGAGCAGCTTCATAAATTAGGTTGTATCAACGAGATGAAATAGGTCACAAGCACCATAAATAATGATGCGAGACTGCACAGCCATATGCACAGAGAATAGAATGATGCTCCTCAAAATACAGCAACACAGAGGAGCTTGTAACTATCACTACAACTGTGTGGGGACATGCATGCAGGTAAAAGATGTGATGGAAGAAAATATGCTGGAGTAACATTAAGCCTGGTAGAAAAAAGTTTGTTTACTGTTGCATTTAACCTGTCTGTTTGATATGAAAAGTGGGGAGGGCATAGTTGGCCCCAAGCATGCTTCTTTACTCTTTTTGCCTTAATTTTATCAGTTCATTCTGTGTGGAAGGATTTCAGGTGTCCTTTGGTGGTACAGAAAACAAAGAGTTATGTATACCAACACACACATTTTTAAAGCATCTCTAAGACCCTCACTTCTTTCTCTGAAAAAAATTCCATTTTCTAATTTGCTCTTTGAGGTTGGCCTTTCTTGGGTTTTACTCCTTTCCAATATTCTCTTTTATTAACAAAGGTTTCCTTCCTTCCCTTCTTTTTTTGGTCAGTGGTTTATTAGGCTTTCCCTTTTTCATTTTACTGCCTCTTTCCTTATGTCTTTCAATCACATTCTCAATCCTCCCCACACTCCTCATCAAAAAGCACTGTATTTACTCCCTCAGGAGCCACTGCTTTTCTTTCTTTTCAAAAAAATAAATAAATAAAATAATAATAAACTGATGTCCTGCACAGGGCTAGAAGCCAGTCCTATTGATTTTAGCAGGTTTGAGTGTTCACTTAAGTCTGCAGCATCCCATTGCCTAGCAACATGGGCACCCAGAGCTCCAGGTTACTATAGCGATGGCTTCCTGATGCAAGAGCTCGCTCAGAAGAATGCTGGAGAGCAGCTACCACTTCAAAACTGGGACTCCCAGGGTTTTTCTCCCCATTTGATTCTCTGCTGTTTGAAAGGGAAAAAAAGGGGAGAGAACACCGACAAGGGGAACCCACTCACTGTAAAGGGCTAGATGATCAATTGTGTTTCTTTTATACACGGCATCCAAGAGAAAATCCTTTACAATAAACTCTCCTTGTTTATACCCTGAAGCCACCCTTAGCCCCTTCCTAGCAGGACCCCTGGACTCTGACAACAAAGACAAACTAGGAATGCAGCTGACCTAGGCTTCAAAGAAAGACTCAGTATGCAGGGCCCTCCACTGGACCCTGTAACAGGCTTCATTCCAAAGTCATGTATAATGAAATGCTGATTCTCTGCTGCTTCCTATTAGCCATGCATTTCATACCATCATTTGCACTGATAACTGAGACTTAGCAAGAATCTAATTTCCAAGCAAGAATCAAGCTACTCAGAAACACTAGGCCACTGGGAAGTAAACAAGAATGTCTAGACCACAGGAAATAATGGACTGCCCTCTCGGTAATTCACTGACCACAGGGACCCCTGCTGATGCTGCAGATCAACTTCATCGCAGTCATTTCAGTTAATGCACAGTGTCAGTTCAGTTCCTTCGCCTTTCAGCAAGAACAATTCTTCATTCCCCTCGACTGAAATACCAAGAGAGATGGATAAAAAGGAAGAAAAATTAAAAAAAAAAAAGAGACTCCCTTTTGCTTGGCAAAAGGAACAAAGGCAACCAAGGAGTGGAGCTTCTGAAAGGTAAATACATTAAGTCTGCAGGGTAATCTCTCTGCCCTTGTTTTATAGGTCAGGAAGTTCTGCTAAGGCTGGATCTGAGTTCTTTCATGGCAACATGATCTGGGGGAAAATGCTACAGACGAACCTGCACTTCCCATTGCATTTTAGGTGAAAAAAATTACCGTTTTTTCAGAAACCTCCTTTACATAGGAAAGTACAACAAGCTGATCACAGAGAGGTGCCAGTCCACTGATGTAGAATTCAGTTTCAAACTGAGACACTGCAAACAAAAGGGAGAGAAGATTCACCATTAATAGCAGCAAAAAGCAGCACACAAAGGAACGAACACATCTACTATGAGTGCAGAATAGACTCATTTTAGAAATTTAACATAAAGGGGGCAGAGATACACATACTTTCTTGATGATAATCAGCACCAGAAAAAGATATCTGGGAACTTACACTTGAAAGATACTCTTACAAACAATAAGCAAACTCGACAATAGTAGTAAGCATGAATGGTCAAGAGTGACATTACCTAGTTAGCCCATGAAGACACTCTGAAATCCATAAAATCCAATCTAAATTGTTCAATAACAATTTTAAATTAAAAAATTAAATATTTTAAATAAAAATACTATTAATGACACAAATACTTCTAAAATAATTTAAACACAAATTTAAATCTTTCACAATTAGGGCATTACCATGGTATTATGGTCATGAGAAAAGCTCTTTGTAATTGTGAAACTATTAATACTTTAACATTTAATAATCATTTTATCTAAACTCTAAAATAAAAAGTGTAGATATAGATAACATTACGATGAAACTGATGTTAATTCTTCAATATTACATAAAGGTCAGAGAAAATAAGAAATTTCTCTTTTCTTTTAAAAGACAGTCATTAAAACTTAGAAGTTCTATTTCTTCTATTGCATCACCTAAGTATATAGATTTAATTATAATAAACCACAAAGATCTTACAAACAGCTCAACTGTAGAAGTACAAATACCACTACATTATGATTCTAATGACTAGCTGTTGTAATATTTATAACAAATGACTGTTTAAGCAACTAATTTTGAGGATGGTTTGTTACACAGCAAAGCTAACTGATACAGTATTAGTACCACGAAAAGACTCTTCCATGAATTATACATAGCACTGATAGACTTATTTGGGAGTAAACTCTCATTTGAACACACCACATTTTCTAAGAATTTCTTGATTCAGTTCTTCTCCACAGTTCTATGGTATCTGCTTCAAATTTAGTTAACTTTTATGATAAAATGACCATCTTTTCCAAACCAGGAGAACTCAGTGTAGCATACTGGAAACAATATTGAACGTGGAGTCAGGAAATCTGAGTTGTAACTGCAGTTAAATTGAACATGGACAATTCATTTTGATTTCTGCTGATATAACTTTTCCCATGTATAAAATAAAGGTATCAGAGTAGAAATAAACCCATAATACAAATAAAATGAGGGATTAGCGAATTTTTCTTCTTCCTCCTCTCCATTCTCCTCATAAATCACTTAGTGTTACTTGTCTCTGCTTATCTTTAATGCCTACTCCTTGTATGACTGTTTTCAAAATTTAATTTTCATACCAAAATGTAACCGAGGATAATGAACAAAAATAGTTAATGTCTCTTTCCAGGTGGTGCTAGTGGTAAAGAACTTGCCTGCCAGTGCCTGAGATGTAAGAGACGCAGGCTTGATCCCTGGGTTGAGGCGATCCCCTGAAGGAAATGGCAACCCACTCTAGTATTCTTGCCAGGATAACCCCATGGACAGAGAAACCTGGCAGGATCCACAGGGCCGCAAAGAGTCAGACACAACTGAAGCAACTTAGCATGCACACAAACAGTTAACAACATAAATATGGAAAAGGATAACATAAGCTGTGTCCTTGGTTGGATCACATAGGTAGTCAGGGTGCCCTGAACAGAACCAGATGATGGAAGTCCAAATTGTGCAGCTCTGCCATGAACACTTTTTCTTCTCAATCTCTGAACCTGAACTGAATATTCTTACCCAGCCACTTAAAAATAGTTTTGGTAAAGTGCTAATGTGATAAGATATTCACATGAAGCATGCTCAGAGATGAGCCTGTCCATTGTGCAGCCAGGCACTGAAGGTTGTGAAGAAGTTTCCCCAGTGCTGTGTGTGAATGTAGTGTGTGAGCAGGGATGGGGGAGGGCTGGAATGGGCAGATGCATGACCTAATGACCAGAGAGGTAAGAGTTTCACATTCTTGAAGACATACAGGCCTATTAACAGGAGGTTTTGGATGCCAGTACTCCTGAGGCTGCTTAAACTCTGTTTGGTAGAGAGGGACTTGTGTTCTTCTTTACTAAATCACATTCCATTATTGAAATGCCCCATATTCAGTTCCCTTACCAGCAACTTGGTGAAGATCAGTGAGTCAGAGGCGCTACAGAGGCTGCTTCACGGGACTCACATGGAGCCTTTGGTGTGCCTCTCTGAAATAGGAACCCGCAGGAGAGCATCATCTAAGAAATTGTGGGTGAATGAGGTATTCTCCCCACTTGATATGCCAAATGGGCTGTTAGCCCCACTGCCAAGAAGTATCAGACAGTATCCATCCTAAAGGTAACCAAATGCACATCAAGGCCTTGGTGTATATGCATGACTCATAAGACAAAAAACAGAGAAGTTAGAAAATAATTCTACTCAGTTCTTCCCTCCTCTACATCCTGATTTCTGTCCAGAGCTCAAGTTAATACTGAACTGAGTTAATAATGCATAAATTTTCCTATTATTTAATTAAGAACAAAACAGAACATCTAATGTGTTCTTAAAGAAAACAAGGCAATAATGTGAAGAAGCAGATGTTTATTTCCTTCTCAATTCCCTGATACTGTCACAAATGCTTATTTGTTAAGAACTAAAGCTGACTACACTTTACTAACTGAATATTAGTAATAATTTAGGTAGAAATGACATGCAGTGTCTAAATGACAAACAAAAAACAAAAAGAAATGTTATTTACAAAGAAAAGATGTGGTATGTAAAAACAGCATTGTCAAGATTTCCAGAGGCACAGTTAAGCAAGTTATCACCATTCAGAAAAAGTTGTAATTCAAGTAATTCTTTTCATTTTATTAAAATGATTTCAAATCAACAGAAATCTTATGGAAAACAAAACTGTAATTATAGTCATACCTACTATGAGTTATAATTTAAGAATTCTTAAATAGTGGCTGCTTTTCTTAGCTTTGAATATTCTACCACTTAGAAATTCATCTTCATGAATACCCATTAGTAATGATATCATATAAAAAAAATGATTCACTTCCTAGTTTGAGGTCCTAGTTTAGGGAAAGGTCTACAGCTATTCTACATTAAAAAAGACATTTCAGGGACTTTTCTGAAGGTCAGAGGTTAAGACTCTTGTGCTTCCAATGCACGGGATCGACCAGTTTGATCCCTGGTCAGGGAACTAAGATTCCACATGTCTCACGGTGTAGCCAACAAAAATAAAAACAGCAAAAAAAAAAAAAAAAAAGACTTTTAAGGGTGAACAATGGGGTTCTGTTTTACTACTTACTAAGGCAAAAGAACAGGACTGTTTTAGGATCCATCACAATTCAGTGTATTCTTTATACTAATGCTAAATCCTTAAATGGCTGGTTAGAGACAGTGGTGTCAGAACGAACAGAGAAGTACAAGGAATATTCTAAATGAACAGATAATAATGAAGAGAGTTAGAGAAAGAAACACTGGATGGTAATATTTATTCTTCTAAAGAACATACGTAAATTATGTAATAAGTTTATGGACCAAGTTTATAAAATGTCTTCATGTCATTACTGCTTTTCATTTTCAAAATTTCTATATACTAATCAAAGTTTCAGTTAATTTATTTTCCCTGAAATATATTTTCCAAGAGTTGTCATAATTTTAATGAAAAAAAAACTCATTAAAGGAAAATAGTTTTGAACATAGGTGGTTTATGGTTCTCATACCACAGAATCTTTCCATTATCTGAAAAAGATAAATCATAAAGTAGAAAAAGACAACTTCTGTTGTAAAGCACTAAGACAAAATACAAAGCAAATGCTGGGGAGCAGGGGGGAAGAAGAGAAAAATGCAGAATTTCTAGAGAAAGCCACAGAAGACAGTAGCTAAGATCAAGGAGGTGGAGAAAGTGAGTTGATGGCTCTGGGGTCCCTGAATTATGGTAGAGGAAAGCCAAGATACCCAGGTTCCATCCTGGAGTTGGGAAGATCCCCTGGAGAAGGAAATGGCAACCCTCTTCAGTATTCTCATCTGGAGAATCCCATGGACAGAGGAGCCTGGTGGGCTATAGTCCATGGGATTGCAAAGAATCAGATAGGACTGAGCAACTAAGACTTTCACTTTCAAGCAAAGACAACATTAGAGCTGCAGCACAGCCTTCATCCTGATGGAGATAAAGACTCACTGTGCTCCAGTTTATTCAGGAGGATAAAGCACTCCTAGACGTGTTAGAAGAAATAGTTCAAGAAGAGATTCTAAGCAGAATAAGAGAGAAAGAAAGTTTCAGAAGGATTATTTACATAAAAATTGTATTCAAGGAGTTATTTGGATCCAGAAAGAGGGCAATTCTATACAGACCTGATCTACAAGAGAAGCTTCAGATCTTGAGGGGTGCTATTCAACAGAGTGTTAACTTAAGACAAAAACATAACTTATGTATGTAAGTTTGTCTAGTAGTCATATTCAAGAGTAAAAAGAGGTGAAATTTAAAAAATATTTTATTTAAAGCAACATATCAACATACAACTATTTCAACCAAAAACATAAAAAAATATTGAAATAATTTACTTTTTATTTTCACACAAGTCTTTGGAATCCTAGACACAGGACATCTCAGCCCACACCTGCCACATTTCAAGCACTTAACAGTTAAAAGTGGCAAGTGGTTACCTTATTGGACAGTATAGGTCCAGATAACCTATAATTTTTAGTCTTTAAAAATCAAGTAACTTTACTCAAATGTATCTTGATGTGCACTGTGGGTTATAATTTTCATATACACACTGTACTATTTTAATTTACAGTTTCTAGTTTTTATATCTATTTTATATCTGTTTTAAAACTAGTTTCAGGAAATTTTTCTTGAATTACTGTTTTTGGTATTTATTCCATTTCCTTGTTTTGTTTCCCAGGAGTCTTATTTGCAGGCTAAATTACCTCTGCCCATCTTCAGTATTTACCATTTAATCAAAAATCTTTTTTTCCCTTTGTTTTTAATTCTTCAATTTT